TCATCACAATCCTACAAAAAGAACATGGAAAAGTGAACATCACCTGACATTTCCTTTTGCAACAGTTCTTAGACTGGAGAGAAAGTCATTGTTTGGTTCAAAATATTTCTTTTAGAAGTAGTATAATCAGATAGTTTTATTACCCTTTCAATTGATCTTCTAAATTCCTTTTCCTACTCCTCTGTTACTGTGTATAAACTCAAAACACCTAAGGCTAGGTTTACCAGACTTATTCTTCTAAGAATAAAAGAACTCTTTTAGATGGTAAACTATTTTCATAATCTCATTAAAGAATTCTAACTGAGACTTAATATGTAATATCTTCAAAATTATTACAAATATTATCAAAATGAATATTTCATTGTTTCACATATTCGAAGTATGGTTGTTTGGTTGTTAGTTGTTGATGATTCATTCTAATACATATTACCGTGGAAGTGCTGCTAGCATTCTGAATCAAGATTAAATGTGAATGGAGATAAAAAAAAAGTATACCATACTTTACCAGCTTTTAACCATTTTTATTAAAACTGTTTCCAGGTTCCAGAAATCATTTTCAGATTCTGTTCCAAATGCCATAAGTTTTATGTATATATTTAGTAAATTGAAGATAGACTTGAATCACCATTTTTTTCTTGTTATGCTATACAATAGAGATGCTGAAGTTCTTTACCCATATTGTAATATGTTTATTTTCTGTAATATTATTTATTGGAAAACAGCCTTTGTTTTTTGTTTGCTTTGTAGGCAAAACCTCTTGGGTAAAAAAAAAAATTTCTATAAATAAAGAATATTTTTTTCAGCTTCACACTTTCTATGGTTTATAAATATTTTCTACATATTAGATAATGAACCATAACTGCGATATAAAAATAAGAAAACGTTTTCAAGAGGTATTAGCAATCAAAATTATAATAATAATAATAATAATTATTAAATAATAATAATAACATACAAATTAACATAAAATTAAATAATGACAACAAAAATAAATATAGTGAATTTCTTCCATAATTTTCAGTGAGTTCTAAATCTGGTGTCACTTCTGTAGAGTTCATAATTTGTACTCTTTCTTCTCATAATATGTGCTTCAAAACTTTAAGAAAATTAAAAAGGAATTATTCTTTACATCCTCCTTTTCAAAGGTTCCCATAGCACCAATTAGTTCTTCGGTTTGAATTTCTGGTTTCCATAAACTAAGTTTACTAGGAATTGATAATAAAAACTAACGTTGCTAGTAAATAATGCCCAACAAATTTGATCACTTATTTTTGACAAGTTTAGAAACTTTGGAGTTTTACCAATTATCCAACTTAGAAGATTCCAAATGTGTGACTTTTGTCAAATGGAAAAGGAAAAAAAATGCCTTACAATTATATATTAATACCAACAGAATATGACAATCACAATGATGTTAAATTTGAGGTACATCTCAACTCACTTTAGGAATTAATTTACAACTGAGGTTGTTATAATTTTATCATTATAACAAGTAGTAGTGGTTTCTTTAATATTATTAATAGTAACAATTCATAGCAAAATTCATTATTCTTTTTATTTCTTTAAGACGTCATCTGTAAATTGCTAATTCACTTTAAATATCATGTCTTTAGTAAAAGGTGTATAAATCATTAGCTTAACATTGGCAAAGTATTGTGATATGGTTTGAAATATAAAGTTGACAAAAAACAAGATTCTTTAACAAGGGTCAAAACATAAATTTGGTAATATAAACAAAAATAAATTTCTACTGATTATAATCACCCAAAAAATTTTCAAATAGAATATCCAATAAATGTACCACTACTCCCTCTATTTTCTTCTTAATATTGCAATTGTTGATATTCATTTTCAAAGCTTCACATGGAAAAATCAGCTGCAAATGCAAAGAACTTGACATAAAAAAACTCAAAAAAATAGTTTGTTGAAAGGAGAGACTTGCTAATTTATAAAACATTTCAAACCACACTTCAGCTATGAGCATCTATTGTAAATAAAATATTCTAAACATTCCATAATTTTAGTTCAAAGCATTAACATTAGGATGTGATTTACTAATGTGAAGTGTTATAAATGTAATGCTGTGTGAGAAGTACTAATTTAAGTGAATAATGACAAATTCTCTTTAATTTGCATTATTTTTTACAATTACGATTGAATGTTTAATATTGATTGATTAGAATGTTTAATATTGATTGAAAGATTTTTTTCTGTAAGAAACATTTAAAGTTTGTGTTGATTTCTAAATTCTGTTTTCAATTTCTAAAAAGAATTGGAAAGGGCTTTACATTTACTTTGTTCACATTAAAATAAATTTATATTTCATTAATAACATTTATTAGCTCTGCATTTCATGCATATCTTTTGAGCTCATTATCAATTCTATTTCAACATGCACACCAATAAAGCCGTTGTACAAAATTATGCAGAGATCTATTGTTGACAATGACTCTGCAATTATGTGCATATGACAAGTGCCTGTGATCTCTTCTACAAGTACACTAGATAGTAAAACACTGCAAGTTTAGGAAATTTTCAACATAGCACATTATTACATAGTCTGTATGGAAAGATTCACAGACAGACAGACAGATGCACACGCACACACACTGGTATTTTTATACTTTATTATTTTAAACATTAGAATAGAGTTTAAATTCAAATCTCAGTAAGTAGAAATATATATTCTCATAGAAGGTTAATAAAAGCATTAGATGTATTATTGTCAAACTGACTTTAAATCAATACACAAATATTAATTGTAATGTATGATTTAAATAATTATAATCATATATGAATTCACTTAAAATATTGTCAATATTAATTTTTAAAATGTCTACCTTATAAATATCGCTTGAAGATGTTCTTAATAAGGAGTTTTCAACAAGGTGGACAAAGCCTAGGTCTGAATCATATGCTATTATTCCAACCAAAAGGCTAAACAAATTATGAAGAAAAAGACTCATACAAATGTTGCAGAACTTTTCACTTGTACACCAGATAATTCATAAATTTCTTAGCTTTCAGAGTCAATAGCATCAAGAAGAATTGAAGTGTAAAAGACCAATTCAACCTTCACTTCATGCTAATTTATACATTGAAACACAGAAGATAACCTGCATGATTATTGTCTTCCTTCAAAACATTACAAATATCATATTGTTGAACAGAAATAGTAAGTTTTTTGTTAATAATAATAAAATAATAATAATAATTTGTCACACAAGCATAAGCAGTGTGTGAAAAGTCAAGAGAGATCTTTGTTGAATTGAAAAACCTTTAATGTAACATGTTTTATTCTTAATTTGGAAGATGTAACATTTAGAATATTCAACCCTTTTAATTAAAGAGTATTTATATCATGTACCTTTTAATTTTCATTACAGGCATTACAAAAATGAAGTCTACAAAAGTTATGATTCATCATACTATATATAAGTCAATTAAAGTAGTAGTGAAAATAAACAAATGTATTTACATAATAAAGGGTTACTTTCGTCCTGCTACATTACTTTCTGCCAAAAGAAAAAACGACTTGAACATACGTGCTACAACCTGATTGTTTGAGGATAATTCTAAACTGGTGATACCACAAGGACTCACCACTGGTGAAGCAAGTTTACCTTCAATACTGCTATAAAAATCATCACTAACTCACTGGGACCAAGCATCTCACTTCAAAATAATATTAATATTTTAATTAACTATGCATGTTTGCATGTGAGTGATTCTTCTGAAATTAGTTAACAACTCAAACATTTTGTTTCATGTTCAAATTTTCAATTGAATTGTTATTATATACATACAGATTACATCTTCAACTACACAATTGCTCATTTTAACTACAGTAGTGGAAAAAATATTACCTGGTTTCAAACTATTATGAAAGCTTACACTATTGTACCGTATATGATAAAATTTATAATAGGAATTATGCAATAACAAATTTCTCAAGGAAAAATACTTACAGGAAGTAATTAAAATGCCAAATTGCCTAAAATATTAAAGTAAGCTATAATTTATTTTTCAAGAAAGTCCATCGATATTACCGAGTTTGTGAAAAATTGCAATTTATGAAAATTAAAACATTATAGTTCTTTATGTACCTGACAACAAATAACAGAAATTTGTTTTAACATTGAAAATCTTAATGAGTATGATAGTGCATACCTTGGAAAACTTCTTTCAATGGACAACAATGGGCAAAATTATGGGGGTAGGGGGATGGTTAACTTCAAATAAAATAAAATAAAAAAAAAAAGGTCTAGAACAGTCTTTTTCATAACATTCGCAAATTTTTGTTCACAAATGAAAAGGGTTACAAAGCATTTAAATATAGGCTTATCTGTTCATAAATATCAGGGAATATTAGGCTATTTGGAAAGAAAGAGAAATTTTATTCACGTATCTTGCGCTCAATTTGTTTCGGGTAGTTTCTGCATTCTAGATGTTGTTTTATAGATATCATTTGATTTGATTCACTCTCTGGCAGGTTCTGACCCACCCTCGCTGTAGGTCTAAAATATGCAGTCATTACCTACAAAATGGGCATTTATCCCTCTGAAAATTTGTAAGCTTTCGTAACACATGTGATCAGGATTTCCCACATCAATCTCCCACTCCAAAATTAGTATTATATATACAAAATACACATTTTTATGTTCAATGGTGTTTGTAACAAATATACAATGTTAATAGTTCAGAACACTTTGACACACTTTCCTCGCTTTCCCTAGAGAACACGAGATGAGATGACAACGAACGCCGAAAGAATATTATTAATAATTGTCGCATGTTCAGGTGTGCTGTTGACGTCAAGCACGTCAAGTGGGGAATGAACACGGAAAACGTAAGTACGTTCTGCGCAACAGCTGCAGATAATAGTTGGCTGGTATCGTAGTTTACCAGAATCGTAATTTTATTAATTATCATAAATCATAGGATTACAATATTGAATACTTTAAAACTATTATTGATCATCAAGCCAGTGTATTACTTACATACAAATTCTCAGATCGCCAGCGAAGTTCTGGCCTCTTGAAGATCTGCTTGTAGTACTATATTCTCCTGGAAAAGGTTGGGTGTTGGTTTATTGTTTGCCAGAATTGAAAATATTCTCAAATCGCATGAGCGCGCTTCTTTTGTAGCTATTTCCCTACTCTGCGTGTCTGGGGACCTCGTCCAATTTACAAGCGAAGCTCCTGGTCTCTCCGTTTCGTGTTACGTACAATTGCCGGCAAATATGAGTGACTGTACGGAACTCAACATTATTCGAAAGAAACTTGTTGAAGCATTGGGTGACAAAGCAGCAGCGTAAGTCACGAACATTTATCGATATCTAATGCCCTATTAAATGCCTTTACAAATGTAATTTATGAATCATCTCATCATATTATTTCAGGTACTTTCAACATATGAAGCTATGGTTTCAAATGAAGGTAGGTTTTTCGATACGCACCTCCTCTGTCCCATGCGCAAATTGGGCCAAAAATTCTTGTCATTTTGACAATAATAGTATAAGTCTCTGGAGACTGAAATGGTTTAAGGTTAAGAAAGTGACAATCATCCTAAAGTAAAGTGGATTTAGGGACATGAGACAATGAGAAAAATCTTTATTAGTGTGTCAAAAGTTAAACATTTTTTGTGATTTTTCCTTTATTCCTTACTATAGGCTACTAAAGGAGAATTTGATGCTGAATCTCGTAAAATGATGACAGAAGACCAAATTCATTTGCACAATCAGTTTTTATTATGTTTGTTTTCCAAGTGTCAATCATTAGCTTTAAGCCAATCATCTTCCATTTCAAGATCTGATTCTGGATTTACCAGCCGGAGATCGGATAAATGTGGATTTGAGGTATACTTGCTAAAAAGCTTCTTTTGAAACTGTGTTAATCTTAAGAGTTACCACATTTGTGTCATTTGAAAATATTTTTTTAAACTTTGAAATAGCCAGCAGATACAGCTGATTATGTACCACAACTACATTCTCTACCACCTCATGCATATGATGAGCCTCCAAGATATTGTACTCAGGAGCTTTTCTTGCCTGATACATCTCTTGTGTTTGGGCGATTTCTTGTGGCTGCATGGGAACGAGATCTAGAAGGAGTTGATGAAAGTGCTGCTGAATATTTAGTTGTTGCTGTGCAGGTAATGCAACAAAAACATCTTTAGCTCTTTCATATATGGTGGTGTTTCTGTGATATTTTAAAGAGACACTTAAAAACAATATCTAATGATTTATGAAATATCTAATGATTAAACAAAACATGATAATTAAAAAATATTACAACATTTTGTTTTTCCAAATAATTAAATATTTCAGTAAGATTGACACCTTGAAATCCTAAGCAAGGTTTTATTTATACTTCAGTATAATAAAATACATATTAGAAAATTATAATACTTTTTATTCTTATATGTATTATTTGTTATACTTGGTATGTGATCTTGCAAATTATTTCTGTAGTTTGGTTGTTCTGTTCTTATTGTTTCTCCTAAGAACAGTGAATTAAAAAATGGAAGAATTTCCTGACATGTAGCTTGTTTGAGCATTATTAGCTCTCAAACAGAATCCTGTTTATGTATAATTTATTGTGGAAATAGAATAATATTATCCTTTTGACTATTCTTAGAAGAAAACAGTTTGATCATAAAGTTTACATTTGGATCCATAGAGGATTCAAAGCTAATTGAGAACTAGTGCTACTATGTTTCACTGTCCCATTAATATTTCTGAAATATTTGTTTTGATTATGAGTATTTTCATAGATTTTTTTTTTATGAAAGTACATTGAAATTAATTTCCAGCATTTGCTGAAAAATGTTTTGACTGCTGTTCTGAGTCGTAAAAATGGATATAAAATTAGAGAAGGATGTTTTATGTACGGAATGGGAAGTTCTGTGCCCAATCCATGGCGGAGAAACACGATCAAAGTTGTGAACTACAACAAAGTAAGCAGGTGAGATTGTTTACAATTTTGATGGACATCATTTAATGGAAAGAGGTGTAATAAAAAAAAAAAAAAGAACACAATTTAAGTTTTCATTTCTATAAACTTTTTAGCAATATGATTCTTATTGTCAGCAGAGGCTAAAGAAGTCATATAGTTGCTATACAATAATATTTATTTTGTTTTTTCTGCACATTTTAATTCTGTAGACCTGAAATTAATGGGGAGAGTGATGGTGATGAAGATGATTATTATTTTTTTGATGAACCACTTAAGAAGCCAACACTTGAAGATGTTGAACAGAAAGCAGCTTTTGAAATTGCATGTGGATGTGACAATGTTAAAACACCTGTGACTGTTTATCACATATTACAGGCATTGCAGGTATTTTTTTTTTTTTTCCTTTTAACATTTTCTTAAAAGTAAATTGTAATTTAGATAAATTCATGATGTCAGTAACTTGCTATCTCACTTGCTTAAAACTTTAGTAAGAATACTTTTTTTAAAGTGCTACATAGTTTTTTGAGATTTTTATCCTTTGCACACCAAAAGAGAAAACTAAGGACCAGAATGTATTTGCTCATTTCTACAGCATATTTCGTTAGTTAGTGTATTCTTGTGGAAGTTCTTTCATACAGTTTTCTTAAACATGGTGCATTTACCATAATGTATTCGCATGGTTTCCTGTAAAATTAAAATCCTAGATAGTGCATGGTTACCCTGTTGCATCTATAAAGTTTTCTGATGTTTATATTATTTTCATTTTTTAGGTGTACCCTCACATCATTCCTTCTCAGGGTGTGTATTCAGTATACATAGAAAAAGTTATAAATAAATTGAGACATCCATCTCGAGAAGAAATTGAAGCTGGCTATGTAAGCTGACTTTACAGATAATGCGTGCATCGCACATTTGCATTGCACTGTATCCTGATTTAAAGACTGTGTGTTTATGATGTAATTAATGTTAAAAGAAGTAATATTTATGTTGTAAAATATAATAAATACTTAAAGTTTTAATACAAAAATGTCTTCACTTCTTAACACCTGATTAACATTTACACTTCTTTGAGGAATATGTCTAGGCTATTTTGCATGCGAGGGAAAAGAAGTGCTGTGCACAGTGCACTGTGCACAGAACAGAAAAGTGTTGCAGATTATGCCAAAAGCAAATGTATGTTTGTATTTAAGAAATCAAGTATCAGTTTCTCAGCAACATCCATGAGAAAAAAAAAACAATATTTACAGATGTACTATGGAATATTTTGAGCTATGTAAAGTGTGCTGAGCTCTTCACCTATTACCCTTAATTAATTAATGGTCACTGTTCACTGTTATATAACATATTTGCTGGCATACAAGTTGTTTTCTCTCTTTTTGAAAACATTTCTTGTTTTCTATTTGCTTAGTATAGAGAAAGAATCATAATTCTGCACCTAAAAACAGTTCCCGATATCGAAAATGTTGTTCATCTTGTTCCTGTATGTAGTAATATCATAGAGTAATGATATACCTTCTTAGTCTATGATAATACCTTTCTCACATTGTATAATGAGAAATAAGTTTCTGGATCCTTGATAATGAAAAATCTGTGTAAGGCAAAATGTCTGTCAGCTATGGTCAACACTAGTCACTAAAATGTTCAGATGAATTTTCCAAAATTCATATTCTTTGATTTATTTGGTCAAACATGTCTTTAACATGCATTTGGACAAACATGCCAACAGTTATTTTGGATTTTAGAAGTACTGTACCCAAAGACACAACATTTTCAGAATTTTCTCCAAAGGCTTACAAAGTTTAGGATTTTTTCTGCGATAGAGAAAAAATGGTGCATGTCTTGTTTTAGTTGAACACTCTGCAAATTGCATAAGCTCAAAATTTTTTTGGTGTCTTCCCACAACTACAATGTTCAAGAAAGATTTGTGCCTGAATGAAATCTATTCTTCATAGACATCTTTAAATAATTGTACAATGTTTTTGAAAATATTTGTAGTTTTGTGTAATTTTGTCTGAAATACAGGCAGTTTTGAAATTAAATAATTTTCTCAGAAACAGCTTCAATTTTTTATTTATTTTTTCTCAAATGCATTTTCAAAGAATGCATACGAAAGTAGTACATGCCCCAGTTCCGGAGAACTCAATTTTTTCACAATTTTCAAAAAAATAGAGTGCAAAAGTACAATATTAATGATACAGATTTTTTAACCTTCAAGTAAATCTCTTTAAATAAGCTAATGTACAAAAAAAAAAAAAAAATCAAATAGTTTTTCTGTAATTTATTACAATAAAGTAAAATAAATTATTTGAAAAATCTCAACAATGATTCAAAATTTTTTCTTCCAAGTTCTTCCTCAGGTATAAAGTCCAAAAAAAAAACTCAAGTGGTTTTATAGAATGGCACAGATTTTTTCTTATTAGATTTCTAATTTTTTTTGGTTTGGGCTAGCTTTTTGGTCTTGTCTCATTCTCGTCAGCAGCCATCTATCATTACCTAAAGAACGCTTTAAAAATGTTTTTCTCAATTTTCCGGTTAATGGTAGAATCAAAATATTACTTTAAGAATACAAAAGTGTAATATCTCATCCTTTACGGACATTTCCTTGAAAAATTTGGAGCCGGTTTTAATAAAATGCTGTTTTGGTTAAACACTGACAATGCCATCTTTATAAGTGTATTTTACTCTATTCTTTCAAGAAATTTAAAGAAAAAATTTGGAGCCATTTGAGAGAATATTTTGAAGATGTTCCAGAGGCTAAATGTAATGTACCACTAACATTTAAAGAATGTTTTTCAAAATTTCAGAGCTTTGAGTCGAGCCAGACTAACTGAGAAATATTCATTTCAGAAAAAATCTTACAAAAAATGAAGGCTCTAGTGCAGTTTTCAGACAGACGGATGATTTCGGAAATAAAAAAACACCCCCCCCTTTACAAAAATGGTTTCATGTATCGGAGGCAAAACCGTTGAAATCTCGAAATCGGTTTTTTGCAGCATTACATAACTTTCTTGTATATACGTAGATATAAAGAAGTAAATAGAAAGTAAAATTGGTGTAGGTCTCAATTTTGTTCAACTATGAATTTGGAGAAATTTGCAAAAACAACAAATTATGAAAATGTGTTCTGTTGTTTTTTCTTCTTCCCCCTTTTTGTAAATAATATCTCTGTAAAAGGGATGTATCATATTTGGCAGTGCTCAGCTTCTGAATATCAAGTGAAATGTGTAGTAATGAAGCAATTTTTAGTTGTGATAGTGATGAATAGAATAATTTGTTTCATGTTCATATTTTTTAATTTCATGAAAAAGAATACGTAATTTTGCTTTTAATTTTTGTTTGAAAATTTAGGGTATATAT